TGAATTATAATCTACAGTTTGATACCAAATTTATTGACATAAATTCATGAAATAGTAGTTCACTAAAATTTTGAAAAAGAGTCAACAAACGAAATGACATGGCCTTTCACCTGTGACCCGTATCAAAAGGGTTAATTGCGTCTAATAAAAGATTTACTGCATCAAATGCACCTAACCTTAATTATACAAATATATCTTACTATATAATGATCTACAAGATAGATAAGTTATTTTTGGCTTGAATGAATTGTCTAAAGTCTTTTAAAATTCATCAAAAATCACTGATGTCAATAACAACAATACATTTCAGAGATTTACAAAAACAAATATATTGGTAGAAACACTGAAAAATGTTTAATGTAACATCCATACTCTAGTATTAACTAATAGTTTTCAACTTGTTAATGACATCTAATTGTTAAACCCTATAAACACTGCATTTATAATAATGAGGAAAGACCATAGAAAATTAAGGTACTAGTAATACCTACCCTAAGGTCCTTCACTTCAGGTTGCTCTTTGAGTAATTCAACAAATGACGTGAAGAAATCTGACCTGTCAACATGTCGAGGTGCAACACACAAGGTATCTATGTCAGCACCTAAAAAAATGAAATCAGTTTGACAAGAGCCTGGAACTAACTTTTAATTAATTCTGAATTACAAAAGATTTCAATATGAAAAAGATAAACCCACCACTGTCATGAAGATTTTTGCTAAAGTTTTCCACAAAGATAGTACCATTACTATCTTCTATTCACTCATTATAAATATTTTCATAGAACTCAAGAAACAAGTATAACAATGTACTCAAGTTTTTCCCAGAACAGGAATGAACCCATGGAGAGAAAAAAAAATCTCAAGGTTCAAGATACACATATAAAAGATGTGTATTTACGTTATATAATCTAACTATTATGCTGCACTTTAACTATTTTGTTTTTAATCTCAGCATTTTTTGATTTATTGTTGTTTCATCTGATAAATACTAAAGCAATGTTGCAGTTCTAGACACCATCAATATCTTATATCCCTCCAAAGTACTTACCAAACTTTCAGCATGACTGTAACAAACTATTCAGTGGACTGCCAATTAGAGTAACCAAATATTCATTTAAATGAAAAAGTTCATTTGTTTTATTCATTCATGAGTAAAAAGGTTAATCAGCATGCTGACTCATATTGTGTAAACCAACCATTTCATATAAGTGAAAAATCAAAAATAACCATTTAAAAAAATTGGTTTACAGTTTTATTAGATGTATCTAGGGTATAACTTGTATGTTATGTGCTGCTTCAAATATCACACAAGAGGGCTCAAATTCAAAACATTAACTTCTTGGGCTGTGATAATCCTAACATTTAAGAACTATTCTTTCACAATTTTGTTAAAAACAAATATCTTTAAGAATACATTTTACGATCAAACACAGCTAAATGTAATATAGAAAATTAACATCTTTAAATCCCCTTATACATTCATTAACATTTATTTGACTAGTACATATAGGAGATCTTCAAACAATGAGATAAGATATTTAAGACAAATCAGCTAATGCACTGTAGCAATAGCTTTTCTAAATCTAGGAGGCCTTACTGCAATGAGATAAACATTGTTTTGTGGAACTTTAAGCAGAGTAGACATAAGACACTAAAACTGTGTACTTAAAAATGATTGCACTAGCAACTGAAACATTGTACCTTTTTATATAATCCTTCTTTACTGTAAAAGCTGTAACATAAAAAAATTCTGTGAAATCATTCACAGCTATGAATAACAATAACCACACATATCTATAAGCTACCTGTTTATAATAGATCTTTCTTAAAAATAAATGGCTGTATAAATTGAAGTTATATTTACAAAAACCTAACTAGAATATTAAATAACCTTCAAACTGAAAATTTTAATGGACTGCAAATGCCCATGTAATGAAAAGGAGAATGACATTTAGGTTTATATACTGAAGCCTTCTTAAGATCACTTAACTGTACAAGTTCACATCAGCTTACAGGAGAAAAACTATCTTAACTACATAGGTCACATCAACTTTGTGGATTTGTGAAATCATCCACTTACCACAGAACCACTTGAATAAAACAACTTCATGAAACAGATTAGTTAAGTATGCTTCAACATTTCTTGACAGGAGATTATTTTATAAGATTTGGGTAATAAGATCATGTTAGTGAGGCTTTGGACTCCTACTAACTAGAATTGTTTATTATGACCCTGGATAACTGTTCTAATATACAAGTCATTTGTCAATTTGTGTGTAACACTCATACTATGAACCATTTTTAATTTACGATGCATCATTCTTATTGATTTTTTGAGAGTGTACTTGCAGAAAAAAGGGTGGGTGCCCCCACTGTTTTTTTTACAAACTTCAACATGTCATTTTTTGACAGGTAAGGCAAAGATAGTGGCTGCATATTGTTATTTCAACACATACAGAGCTTAAACTTTATGCAATACATCATCACAAAACACAGATTTGTCCAATTTCTGATGATAACAAGCACTCTGTATAAGTTGTCTTACCTTTTGTATGAACACCAAGACGATATGATCCAAATGTGAATATTTTTCCACCAACATTTTCTGCTACATTTGATGGCATATTCTGTAAAATCAAAGTTTTGTTGAGTTTATAAGTAGTTTTTACAACTTACAGCTTTTACTATAAGGAAAAATATATCGTTTTGCTTGCTAGTGCAATAATTTTCAAGTACATGGGTTTAACAATATATACTGTTACAGAATTAAATGTCAATTTGAATATAAAAAAAATGCTTTACCACTAAAACTGTGTACTTAAAAATGATTGCACTAGCAGCTGAAACATTGTACCTTTTTATATAATCCTTCTTTACTGTAAAAGCTGTAACTTAAAAAAATTCTGTGAAATCATTCACAGCTATAAATAACAATAACCACACATATATCTATAAGCTACCTGTTTATAATAGATCTTTCTTAAAAATAAATGGCTGTATAAATTGAAGTTATATTTACAAAAACCTAACTAGAATCAAACATAATCTATGAACAGGTATTTTTACTATGAGATAGCCTTTTCTGTAATACAATGCTGATACTGTTCAACAGTACTGGGAGACAAAAATTGTTAATATTTAATTACAGTATCATAAAACTGTTTTAATAAAATAATATAAAAAAAAAGAGGAAGAAATATATATATATATTGCACATTTTCCCCTTAATACTGAAACATAGATTACACTGTTTCTCTTCTTAGATTTAAAAGTTAATTTTAATATAGCCCTGCAATTATCCTCCAAAATACTGAAAGCTCTCAAGGTGTTACAAAAGTGTGCTCATAGATGTATTTCATTATACTTTTCAAAGACTTCCTATTAAATAACTGCTGGAAATAGTCAACTACAACAAACATGTTATCAAAAGTTAATCGCTATTGAGTAGGAAATATATATATAAACACACTATACGAATACATAGTTTTATATGAGCATGTTAAAATTTGGGCCCCATTTTCAAGTGCTAAAACACCATCAACTTAAAATTTTAAAACAAATCATACACAGTACTGTCATACAATATTCAGATATCTGGCCTATTTAATTCATAAATTCTGATGTGAAAAAAATGCAAACAAATTACACTTCAAAGTATCTATTATAAAGCTTAAAAATTATTTAATACAAAGCCGAAAGGTTCTAACATATATAGTACTAAAAATAATTATGGAAACTGGATAAATGGGTATATACTGTACTGCAAATACTATCAGATTGCTTTCCATACATCGTATGAAAATAACTTTCTCCAGAATAAAACTTGTGTGTTGATAGTTTACATTGTGACTGGTAGTCATCTAACCAATCAGACACTGTCACACAAGCATAATGCCAATAAAAATGCAGACAGTCATATTGTTTTTAGTACAAGGTTGGTGTTGGCAAAAGGCTACTTAATGCAGCAGAATGACACAAAATTTCAATCATGTTTCAGAGTGAGCTGTATGGAAACTGTGAAGAAGGTAGGTGAAACTAGTACTGCTGATGACAGAAATGATAGAGGTAGAAAACCTAAACTCTTCAAAAGTGATGTTAAGTAACTCAGGTTATATTCTTTACATAATAATCCCATAAAGGTCTTGCCAATGACCCAACTGTAAGTACAAGACTGAATATTACCTTTAAAATTATAGGAAACACTTTGCATGTTAGTAGTCTCAAAAGATATGTAGCTGCTCAAAAACCATTACATATAAAACAAAAGATAATCAAACCAAAAAGCTAAAATGGGCAGACTTCAAACAATGATATAAGAAAAGAGGGAGGAGAATGCTCTTCACAGATGAATTCAAATTCCTGTTGTTTGGTAACAATCAATGATTGTTTGATGGCAGAGTAGAATATTATCATGGTTCATATACAATATATACAGTGAAACATGGTAAGGGACTAATACAAATGTGGGTTACATCTCAGTCAATGATGTTTAAAAACTACATACAAATGGTGGCAGTCTGAATGGTGACAGACCCAACCTCATTTTTATCCATCAAAAATGTGAAATTCATATCACTCAACACCTAAGACAACAAGATCTGTTTGAGAGATAAATAGTTTTACCATTACATTTGCCTATTAACAGGAAGATTTTTTTGCCACATTGTTCATTCTATTACTAGAAAATCACTCCAAGATTTCTAGAGATACATACAAGTTCTTGAAAATTCTGAACTGTGAAAAATCTAAGCCATACCCACAAACATTTTAAAATCTGTACCTCTATGTATGAAATCAAAACTAAAGAGCCTGGCTACTTTATTACAAACTATGTAGCTTTCAGATATGGGCCTGACCTAAGCTACAGATGCAAATTAGATTAATTACATCATGTGTATTGTGTTCCCTGCAAATAAATTATTAGAAAAAGCACAGTCTAACAGATATGAGGAAAGGCAAAATATTTTCAGTGTTAGAAATAGGCATGATAATGGATGCACATCTTAGCAGATGCCACAGACGTCAAGACAATTTCATGGGTAGGTTTCTCTCCAAGACATTAGTCATTTGAGTTTATCACTGATAGAGTGTCGAATAAAATGCCTATTGTGTAGGGGAATTTTGGCCTCAAACATATAATGACAGAGAGAGGAGAAAAGCAGTTACACAAGATGGTAAAATCCAACCATCATTAAACAATACACAAGCTGACAAACGTTCAGTGCAAGGCAACCTACACTCATCTCCAACCATATCTAATGAGGAATGTTGCAATAAATGGATTATAGCATTAACAGACTATTGCATAAACCACGAGTTACCAATAACAAATATATTGAGTGGTTCAAAGAACACAGACATTGAACAAATACAGACTGATGAAAGGTGGTGCAGTCAAATTAATCACACATTACCATTTTTATTTTTTAAAAGGTTGGAGTAGAGAAATTTGGAAAAAGCCACAAGAATAATTCATTCCTCATGGACAGTTCCAACCTATAAGTGGCTCAACCCATTATTAGGTATAGTTCCTAATAAAGTGGTCAAATCCTATATATACACAAATATACATTCCCCTTTAATTCACAAAATCTCAGTCACTGGTCTCACTACTCAGTAACAAGAAGAGTCAAGACACTTTATACTAAAGTCAGAAACATGAGAGTTGTAGCTTTAAAGCAATATAGACTAGTCTATGGGATAAATATGCAGAAAAGAATTATTATACTATTCAGGGGAAGGGGTAGAGGACATAACTGACAGAACAAATGATATAATAAAGGGTGCTAGCAGTGATGCAGTCTTTATGGTGCACATAGGGACTAATGATATAAGTAAAGGTAGATCAGAGGAATTTATTGTTAAGTATAAGACATTCAAGGAAGAGAGACAAAATAAATTAATTCTGTCAGGGATACTGCCAAGAATGCTAGGCTTAGGTTAATAAGTAAGAACGAGCAGATTAGCTGGTTGGATCAGTTCAGTGAAAAAAAAGGGAACTTTATGGAATGAGTGGTTTACATTTAAATAGAATAGGAGCTGGCTTTTTGCAAGGGTTATTAATTCAATTCTAATAGAATCTTTAAACTAGGATTAGACAGTGAAGAGGACCAGAATAATAAAGAAAAATAACACAGAGAGGGGTACAGTATGGGAACAAAGTGCAAAGGTAGTTTTAATGGTAGGCTAAACTGTCATTACTGCAATGTTAGAAGTATAAAAAATAAATGACATTGGATCACTAGTCAGAACAGAGAATTTTGATATAATGAGATTAACAGAAACCTGGTTAAATGTTGACAGTTTTGAAGACAGGATGTTTTTGATTTTTTTTAAATACAGAATTATAGGTTGTTTAACAGGGATAGAGTACTAAAGAAAATTGGGGTGGGGTGGAGTGACTTTATATGTAAAATGTGAGTTACAGCCTGTTCAGTTAAGGATATCAAAAGCTAATAACAATGAGGTTTAATCTATTTGGGTTTATATTAGTGGTTATAAGGGGAGTAAGCTTTTAGTTGGAATTTGTTACAGACCACCAGAGAATTAATTACTTTCAGGCATAGGTTGGGAAGTGTTCAAATGAGGGAGACAGGTATCTAGAAACTGTTCAGGATGGCTTTCTTCAAAAATTGGTAAGGGAACCTACTAGAAACAATGCTATATTAGATTTATTATTACCTTCTAATAAAGAAGTAGAGATTGGAGAACATCTGGGTGAAAGTGGTCATTGTTCAATAAGATCTGATATTTTGCTCCATAAGGAGATAAGGAATAATGAGATGTAGGTTCCAAATTTCTAAAAGCCTAATTTTGAAGAGATGAGACAAAAATTATCTGCTGTGAACTAGGCAGCTGGTTGGCTGAAAATGCTAAAATTAATAGTAAGAATTTCTTCAAGTACATTAAGGGTAAGCATAAGGCTTTTGAGAAATGATACAAGAAGAACAAAATCTAACGATTATAGGTTGACAGGGTTATTAAATTCTACATTTTCTTCAGACTTTACTAATTATGATTTAAACAATATTCCTCATCTTGATGGAAACAAGATGATCACATTAATTCTGAACTTAAAGATAAAAAATTCTAGGGCAGATAAAATTTACCCAAGAATTTTGAATGAGGTTAAGGATTTGTTATGTGTGTCACTTACTACTATTTTTCTAAGTCCTTGATTAATGGGCAGATGTCAAAAGATTAGAAGTTAGCTAATGTTACTCCCTTTTTTAAGGGAGGTGATAAAAGTTGTCTCAGTAAATATAGGCCTGTTAGTCTTACATTTTACTTCAGTGGTGGGAAAGCTTTTTGAAAGTTTGATAAAAGATGCTTTCCAAAGTCATTTAACAAAGCTTAATTTTTGTTTTATAGCCAGCATGGTTTCACTAGGTGAAAATATTGCCTTACTAATCTTTTGACATTCTTTGAAGAAGTTATTATTTATGTAGATGAGGGTACAGGTGTGGATTTGGTGTATCTGAATTTTCAAAAGCATTTTACAAGATGCCACATAAAAGCCTTGTTAAAATGTTATCTCTCTAGGTGTGGAGGACAGGTTGGCTCATTGGATAGAAAACTGGTTAGATGGAAGAAAGCAGAGGGTTGTTATAAATGGAATTCAGTTGAA